TCGGCATCCAGTTGCTGTTGTAGACAGCTTGTTAGGGTATCTAGGCCTTCCTTCGTCATTACGAGTGCTTTGTATAGTTCCGGTTTGAGCAAGTCTGGTCCTGGTGCAGTTTTGTTCTTCAGTCCGGATACTGCTTTTTTCACATCTTCTACTTCAATCTGTGTGGGGTTCATCTGTGATGTTTCCTGTCTCACAGGGAGAGCCATATCCATCAACTCTCTCATGTGTCTCGGGAAGTGGGGTCCCTCGTGCACAGTTCTCCTCATACCTTCTTCATATTCCTTCTTCACATCACTGTTCCATATTTTACTGATCTCGTTTGAGTGCTGCTGGTACACAGTTTTCCAGAATTTCACCAACTCCTCTTCTTCCACTTCTGGTTCCAGTTTCTTGCCTTCATTGTCATACAGTTGGATGTCTTCTTGGTTTCTCTCCTTCTTCCTTAGTTTGTCAATGTTTTCAAACATTGACTTGCTCTTGTTAGCACTGTTCCTGATTTCTTCAGTTGTCTTCTTTTCTGATTTTGTCACAGCCTCTTTCACCATTTCCTGGACCTTCTTTTTCTGTATTTTATACTGTTCATTGAGCAGCTTCTCTTGATCTTTGTCTTTGGTGTTTCGTTTTTCCCGGTTTATGGCCCTGCGTTTCTTGATAGCTTCCCTGATTTTATCTGTGACCCATGGGTTTTCTTTCACCTGTTGCCCTATCAGGCTTTTCTTGCGGTATGTTGCTTTTAACTTGCTGTTGGCCACTTCTGTCATCAGGCCATTGAGCTCCTCTATGTTTGTTATGTTCTCATTTCGGAGCCTTCTCTGCATCTCTTCTCCGAAGAGTTCCAATGAGCCAGCATCTACCTTCCAGAATTCTCTGACACTTGTCGTTCCCTTATTAAAGCTTTGGTTTCTTGTGGGTATTTCCATTCTGACCGAGATCATATGGTGATCTGAGAGGTCAAAAAGCTCCCTCTCTTCATCAATTGTCATGCTCTCAATACGCTGATAGCACCTCCTATTTGCGAGGACATAATCGATTGCACTATTTTGGTCCTGCCTTGACCATGTATATGTACCTTGGCAAAATTCTTCTAGGTTTAGCAGTATCAGTGATGATTTATTTGTCCAGTCTAAGACAATTCTCCCATTTTCATCTTCTCTTTGATAGCCAAGCTGTCCAATGTGTCCGTTCATGTCTCCGAGCAACAATAGAGCCTCATCTTTTGCCATAATTGTTTCAATTATGTTATCAATTTCAGCTTTCATGTTTTTATTCCTCTCACAGTCTTCAGCAGATTTCCTTACAGACAGATATACAAGGATGATGTGCAACTTAAAACACCCTAATTCCATGACTGCATGCAAAATGTCTGTGCTACACGTTCCTTGTTTTGCAACACTTGTCCCTTGCTTAGTTTGGAACATTATCCGGAGTCCCCCTCCCTTCTTATCCCTCATCTCTCTCTTACTTACTGGTCTTACTGGTCGAGCGGCAGCGTCGTTAGCCGGCGGAGGCCCAATAGTTGGCCCCAAGCAGCCTCTGCTCCTCCTAGCTGGAACACCCTGGTCAGCGCCGCTCGGGAGAGAGTACCAGTGGCCAGCTGGCACATCGTGTGGGCAGCGCGGCCACGGGAGGCGGATTTCGCCGCCCAACCCCGCTGCAGGCCTCTCTCGCTCATCCTCCTCTCCTCCCACGACCCGTCGTCGCGGCTGCTCAGCTGTCGATCCCGTATGATGAGTTGGATGTCCTGCGTCCCGAGCTCCAGGTAGTCGGAAGCAGAACCGCTGCCAGCCAGGTGATCGGCTCTGTCGTTCAGTTGGACTCCGGCGTGCCCTGGGCAGTATACCCAGACGACTTGTTGAGGGAGGTCGTGCCACTCCGGAGGAGCCGATCCGCTCTCAATCATTGTAACACCTACAGAAACTTCATACTTTTCAAATTTTTGTTGTGTTTCTGTAAGACACAGTATATCACAGTTTGTTTTCAAAAGTTCTTCAAGCTCAAGAAGTTTATTTCTTGTGAGGCCCTGCACATTCACCATGTTGACTGTAACAGTTTTACTCTTTATCAGCTGATTTCCCCTTTTCTTCTTTCTTGGTAGTTCATTGGTTTCTGATGACCCTTCCTCGAAAGATCCTGTGTGTGGCAGTCCCCTTTTCCTCGAGTTCCTTTTTCAGCTCATGGAACTTCTTCCTCTCTTCTGGCGTTCTATCCAGGGATATGTATTTGTTTTCTATATTTACCTCTCTCATCCTCATGCGGTTCTTGTAGATTTCTTCTGCCTCTTCCCTGCTGGACAGTCTCACCAGCATCAGCCTGTTCTTCTTTGTCGTCTCATCTTTCTTTCCGAGCCTGATGATTTTTTCTGTCTTGAAGCTCCTGTTTTCTCCCATAAGCTTTTTCATCATTTCCTTGAATTGTTGTTCATCATGGTCTTTTCTTTCTTCAACATTGGCAGACTTTGACTCGTCTATGTTGTGGAAGATCAGGTTTTGTGCTCTATTCTCCTTCTCTTTCAATCTCACGACTTTCTCTATGTTGGTTGTGTTACTCTCCAGGACTTGACTTTGTTGGGCCATCTGCCTCACCACACTTTCTTCCATCCCTTTGAGTTTATCACTCTGCTCTTCACTTTTCTGTTTGATAACATTGACTGCTTCAGACATTTCCGCTGTTCCCTTCATCGCAGACTGCAGTTTGCCAACTTGATCTTCTATCTTCTTTGCAGCTTCAGCATATGTTTTTGCTGGTTGTGTTTCTTTGATGCTTGTGATGATCACTTTCTCTTGCTGCTTCATGGCTGCCAGGATTTCTTGTTTTTGGGCCTTGATGGCAGAGATTATTGCCTGGTTGTCTTCCTGCACATTTTCTTTCTTATCAGCCTTTGGTTGTGATTCCTCCTTCTCTTCTCCCATTGTGATGGCCCTTCTTGCAAGCTCTGGGAGGATAGCACGGCACTCCGAACATAACCAGAACACTCCCTTTGTCTCCTGGAGGGCTTTGTAGGTTTCCGACTGCACCTTCTGGCAATCCAGATGGAACCAGAACTTGCATCCATCACAACATACTCCATCTTGATTGTCTTCAACCTTGAGTCCACACTTCTTCTTGCTTCCTTTTCTTCTTCCTGGTCCTCCCCGGCAGATGTCGTGAGACGGCTGGCTTGTACCCGACGATGAGCGACTTCCAAATGGTTTATAAACATTAGAGTCTAGCCGCTTTACTCTACTTCCACCTTGTCCTTCCACATCCTGGTCATCATCGTCAGAGTCGAGTTCTTGAGTTTCGTTGAGCGCCTGTCCCACATTGTCAGTTCTTGTCTCTGTTTGAGCCTTAGCTCTATTTAGTTCTCCGTTTTTAGAAGTATCGGCCTGTGATTTATCTTTCTCCTCTACACTGGGTGACCCTGGTGGGGTTCTTTCAAGCGTATTTGATGGTTTAAATACGTCTCGATTCATGCCAGGCTGAGACGCCATATTGGGTTTAGATCATGCCCATGCCAGCATGCACGAGCAGGAACAGGAGGGTCAAACAGAAAAGTATGTGCAAGAAAAGTATGTTCCTGTAAAGAGTTATTAGCACACAAAAACTTTAAACCTTTGATGAAAACACGACTTACAGTTGCCCAAGAGCAAAAAAGGCCTCAAGGTAGCCAAGGTCAATCATATATGAAATCATTCATTGTATTTTAGGCCATTACAATGCATTTTGGCAAAAAAATCAGGCAGCTGATTTTTCCCCATTGACTTGTAATGGGGGGATCAAAAATTGACCTGACCTTATTAGGCCATTGATATCTAAATTTTGAGATATACTGATTGTAATGTAACTACCAATGACCTCATTATATCCTGCAACTTTCAAAGGACTCTGTCATCTCCGGTAGCTCTGACATGGTGACAAAAATGCAAAATAGTGATTTGAGGTCAGGTCATTCAAAATGACCTGGTGACTTGACCTTGAAAGGTAAGAGGTTCAACTTTGCACACAATGAGTAAAATTGATGGGGAAATGCCTATTCATGCCAAATTTTGGTGCCTCAGTTTCTTCCGCTATTTAAAAAACTCAGGGGCGGATATCTGCCCCGTTCATTGGTGCGCAGGTTCACAAATCACATACCATGATAATGATGTGATGGCTCCACCAAAAATTGTGAATCAAACCACTTGTGAAAGAGGCAGAAAATGAGCCTCCCTTCTTTTCATTTGACCTCTGCTTCCCTCTTTGCCTTCCCCACCCACCCCACATCCCATCCCATATTTGATCCCTACAGGCTAGGTACAACACCTGCAACCCTGCATACAGCAGGCCCATGTCACTCCACTTTTGATGACATCATATGGGGGCCTCAGGACAATAATGGCGCGGCGCGCCACAAATGCTTCAAAGCTACTTGCCAACAGTTGCCATTTTTGAAAATATTATTTTGAAATAAAGTTCAAAGTAATAAAAATATTGTAATAAAGTTGTTGAATAAATCGATACCATATCTAAAAACTTACTGAAAAATGATTTATTCATAGTAAAAATATAAGCACGATGCGTTTTTACGTTGCTTTCCTGCTGCTGCAGAGGGTTTTTAAATCGTCCATATCTTCAAAACCGGCCATTTCTTAGCATATTGCTGCTCTTTTTTATCGCTAGAAAATTAGCTGGACTTTTCAACGACATCAATAATTGAGCGATATGTGTAGAGTGTCACCAACAATCTTCAAATGAAGTTAGTCATTTTTACGTTGTAAAGGAATGGAGTACCCCTTTCGAGCATCAGGGGTGACGTCACTCAGGATCTGTCTCTGATTGGTCGGCGGGGGAGTGACTGTACCTTCTATAGATGGCCTTGGCATACAGCTTACCCACTTGACCTTCACCTTACTTCAGCTGGTTGGCAAGGGGCATATAGGGCCAGAGTATATTATATGGCCTTGGTTGGCGAAAGAAAGACGTCTTATATATAGGTATCTTGCCCCTCCGGCCTCCAGCGACACACCTCAACTTTGACTTACACGCACTGCAATTCCAACGGCACTCGAAGGAGCATTTGGGAATATATAGGACAGGTTCTTGTTCATAAATATAATCCTTGCTTCCGTTTCCATACGTGAGCTGAATTGAATGTATACCATTGGGTATTTTAAGAAAATCTGTGCTTAAGGATTATTTTGAACATAATGTTTCATTTGCGCTCTGTCTCATCTGCGCATTATTTGAATACATTTTACGCATTCGGAATGAATATTGGGTTGCAATGAATGGTACTATGATGTCATTACCTCGAGCTAATATACAGAGACACTTCAGAAAATTTGTTGCTTCAAGAGGAAAAATTCTCAAAAACTTTGATACCATATTACTACAAAATCCAATTTGAAACTGTATTGTTCAAGTTTCTACAACATAAATAAGTGAATAAATGAGTAAAATTTGTATTGATGACGTCATTTATTTATTACTTATTTGAGATATTCTTTTCCATCTTTGACATATCGGATAATGTGCAGCGAGAATGGTGTTTACTATCGAGGCCACTATGGACTTTGGTGATTTTGTCCAAGTCAGTCCCACGCACAAGGGGGAAAAGCTCAAATTATTGAGCGCTCAAAATATTGAGCGTGTGACGTCAGAGGCTCCCATAGGCGTAATGCTGAGGGCTCAAAAAATTGAGCCGTTTCAGGAACACGTTTTGCAAAAGCAACTCGCAACACCTAGGGAGAAATGGCAACACCCTAGGAGAATCACTAATGATGCAAAACAGATTAGTCTTTCATATTTTTCACTGCTCAAGCTTCAATGATTGGGGGAACACCAATTTATAGGTCGAAATCTTACGGCATACCAGGATGACCTAAAAACAGGCCAATATTTATGTCGAAATAAAAGTTATTTTTTGTCCATTCACGTTTTTTACTAGGGTTCTGTTGGAAAGAGCATTTTTCATACTACCCAAAATGATTGCGACTCAATTTCACATTACCCATATCGGAGAATATTTTTCATTTGGCGGCGCCGTTTGTTTATTTCGTCGCGACGTCTCCGGTCGAGTGGTTGTCGTCGTCCTCGTGTTGAAGGTAAGTTTTTATCGTTTTAGTTATATTTAGATGTTAAAAGGTACACTGAAAAGTTTGAATATGCTGTGATTTTAAATTTGGAAACACGTAAACGTCAATCAATTCACGTTTTCCTCGATTTGCGTGCAGATAAGTAACTGTCGACGAAAGTGGCGCCATCCGATATGATGTTTTGAAGGAAGGAGACACAACATATTTACGTGAAAATTTTTGTTTTTTAGTGGTCTAAGTGCTTCAAAGAGGCTGTGAATGTTTTCTTCACACAATTTTTCATTAGGTATGATGAGGTAAAAGGTAGTTTCAGTCTTAACTTTCATATAATTGACATTAAAACATATGATAGTCCACTCCTATCAGTGATTGAGTACCTTGATATTTGGCATTTCTTATTAATTTGAATGTATTCTCTATCCATATGTCCTGATAGTAAGTGACAATACTCAGCCAATATGTTTCCATAGTTTTCACATTCATTTTCCAGTCCTTTACATAACATCAATTTATAATCAACAAAACTCAACTCCTTCGTTACTTCACAACACTGACAGCATGACAGACTGACAGTCAACTATTGTGTGTGTGAATGCTGAAACAGGATAGCCACTTTGCTGACTGGCTCATATGAAATAAGATAAAAATGATCCTTTATATCATTTTCATCTGGAGGATCGAAGTCAACGGAAAAGGAAGGCCACTTTTAAGCCTGAAGGTCTAGGCCGCCAGACGCCAGTCGGCAGTCACCACCAAATTTATAATATATTTATTCATTATTATACTTTGAGACCCTTAGGTCACTGGATCTGCATCACATTTTCAGTTTCAATATAGTAAAGGTTTTTTATTTGTATGATGTGAAATATTTTCCTGAATCAGAATTTAATTATCCCTAGGTACCTGGTACAGGTTTTGGATTTAATGCTCATTGTTGGTGTGCAGTCAGGATTTTTTGACAGGTCCAGATAGGGAATCCTGAGCAATTTTATAGTAAAGTGGTCTCCTTATAATCACCACGCATTTTATCAAAAGTTTTTGCAGAACTCATTCAATGAATAATTTTATCAATGTTGCACCCATTTCTTAGACGACCTAGGCTGCATCTTTTTTTAGTTCCTGTTGTATGACATATTTTCCATTTTGTTCCACTGCATAAAGAAAAAAATCGTTTGAGATCACCAAACAGCTTTTCTTTTTCTGGCAGGTCTGCACAACCAAGCGGTCGCTGGCGAGGACGTCGGCCGTCCTTGTGGGTAAGGTCATCTGCTCAGCCTTTGTGGAGATCAGCAAGACGTCACCAAGATGAAGACTTCGCTGGAGCAGAAGCCGCTGACCCGTGTCCGATCGGGCAGGTCATGCTCGACGGCACGAGCCACAACTTGAACGACTAGGTGACATCAACAACATGGTGGAGCAGGTGAATGAGTTTGGCGACGTGTTGTGCGACTGCAAGAAGGGTTGTCTGCGTGTTCTGGCCGGCGGAGCGGCGACGCTGCGCAGTCTGTGCTGGCGGTGAGCAGCAGGCTGGCCGTGGTGACCGCGCGCGCCCACATGCGCCGACAACCTGTGCGGCTTCGACGGCCCCGGGACAGCCCGATGCCGCCCACTATGCGACGCCGACCGCGCACTGTCCGCACGGCCACGTGGAGGTGTGCCCGCGCTTTTTGCCCGCACGCCGCTACCTCGCAGATGGTCTGCAACCACGCCGTCGCCGCCTGTAGCCCGGTAACAAAACGGCTGTCTGAAAATGCCGCGTGTTCTTTGTGATGTTGCTACTGTGATGGTTGCTACTGCTGGTCTGAGACTCGATGTTTCCATTCGTCCTTTACATGTTAAGGATTTGATAATGATTAGCTTAGTCCGAGCTTAGGTCGTTTATATCATTTGTTATATGGCATATTTTGGATCAGAGCAGTACGACACTGCCTCCTGCTTTTGTGATGTATGCTGGCAAGACGCAGGTTCCGGTCGCAGGTCACCCGGTTCCAATGTGGTCGGGCTGGCATGCGATAATGTGATGTTGTTTTGCTCGTCTCTGTGTTCCACACTTGATGATGTTTGTGAATCTAACCCACATTGTATAGTATTTTTGTTTGTTTGCGGCCGATAGCCTTGTAAGTTGTAACCGTGGCAATACAGTTTTTCCTGCTATAATTCTCCAATATTCAAGCGTGGGTGGATATCTTTTTGTATTCACGTATTCCCTTCTTCCAGTACAGTCAGAGAATATCAATACAGTATTCATACGGATTATTCAAGCCCTGTATAATTATTTGAGGTGTGCCGAATCCGAAAGGCGACCGATAAAACTACTAGCGGAAAATGTGACATGATGCCATGGGTTTGTGAAAAGTTTAGGTACCACGTAGCATTCAACTTACTGCATTTCTGTTTCAACTCAGTTTAACGTATTTCAACGACCATAACATCAAAAATGGCAGCCAGTACGGGCTTCACCTGTCACGGAGAACGCTCAAAAAATTGAGTGTAGATGCTGGCTGGCACTCAATTTTTTGAGCGCCAGCTGACTGTCGTCTGTCGTGGCGCTCAATTTATTGAGTATCGCGGTCCCGAACGACAAGTGGCGCTCAAAAAGTTGAGCGTCTTTAGGGCATTTTCTTTCCAAAAACACCGATATGAATTATCACGGCGAGTGTTCGAGAAGAAACCTTGTTGCTCTCTCTTGCCATTGATACCTTATTTGGATACGATATTTGCCGTAGTGTGACGCTAACGGCATTGTAAAATACCATCGTTTCGCCTATTCCTTCATAACGGGGCCCGCTCAATTTTTTGAGCGCTCAATTTTTTGAGCTTTTCCCCCTTGTGCGTGGGACTGAAGTCCCTAAAAACAATTTTGTCCTTGATTTTATCCGCAGATCTCTGTAAATAGGAGGTGTATTGGTTTGCAGACTGCACTACTGCACCCAGTTTTTTCAGTTGAAATGGTTGTGATGGATGAAAGCAATAGGGAATTATTAAGCAGGCTGTTTCCTGGTAAAGAAAAAGGTGAGTGGTTTCTGTGCTGGACAGTGGACAGTGCACATTCTTTGCTTTGCTTCTCTTCATCTTCAGAAGACTGATCACTCGCAGCGCGACCTAGGAGTGTTGGTCGATGATTCGTTAAAATTTCATCTACATATAGCCACTGTAGTGCATAAGGCCGGTGGACTGTGTCACAATTTTAAAAAGGCTACAGTTTGTCGATCACCCGCATTCATGTTGTTCCTTCTCAGGACGCATGTAAGGCCTGTGCTTGAGTATGCGTCTTGTCTGTGGTACACCGAATATGCTGAGGATGTGTGTAAACTAGAAAGGGTACAGCGCAGATGGACAAAACACATTGAAGGGATGCATGACATGACTTATGCGGAGAGGCTGAAGGAACTTGACCTTTTCTCTGTGCAAGGCCGACTAATTCGCGCCGATCTGATACAGTACTGGAAGATTTTCCATGGGAAGAGCACAATAACCCCTGAGGACATTTTCCATCAGCCTCCCCGAGGTGGAACTCGTGGTCACTGCTTCAAGCTGCATGTAGCACGTGCTGTTTCGAACGTGCGGCAGCGCTCGTTTTCGCATCGTCGGGTGGCTATCTGGAATAGTTTGCCAGAGGCCGTGGTGGCCGCTTCAGATCTGTCGTCTTTCAAACGACTTCTCGCACAGGCACTAGGTAACACATTGTACGACTACATCTGACTCGCGATATTTGTGCAAACATACCGATAAGTGTTGTTTTCCAATGGCATATACCACGAGGACACACACTTTCCAGTCATCTGGCCATATCTATAGGACATCATCGTGGGGAGACTGTGACTGGCGTGTCCTGATCCTATCCGGGTTCCTCCTGCTCCAGTCCTTACTACCGGCTGCGAAGCAGAAGGAGCCCCACCAGGTAAGAGGTAAGAGTACCAGGTAAGGTAAGAGACTTGATTATCATTTTTGCATGGCACATTACCATCTGCTGCTTCCAGGTACAGTCTGTCCCTGCAGTTACATGCCTTGAGCCTGCGCAGGGCCTGAGCCCAAAAAATGGGCGCCATATAGCCTCGTTGCTGGTGCGCCCTAAAACACCAAATCATCATCATAGACTGGAAAAAATACATGTTATGCCAAATATGTCTGGCGGAGTAGTGTGGTTGCGCTCAAAATTTCAGTGCACATCTGGCGTAACTTTGCATGCGCTGAATGGCGGCGGCTGAATTTTGGTGCAGGGCGGCCACAGAATTTTTTGGCGAAAGACGGTCATCCGAATTTAGTTGGCATACTAATGGTCAGTGTAGCAGATGGTTTGCCCTCGGGGTGGCTCTGGAGATGTTTTGGGACATGACGTCCCCGCCCTGTTGTCTCGTGCTCAAGCTGGCGAGCCGTACTGAGTATTCAGTGGAGGAGCGGCCGCCCAGGTAAGGCCTGAACCCTCAGTGTGGAGATGAGATGGGTATGGAAGACCTTGAATTGAACATCACCGAACGGCCCACCGCTGTGTCGAGGGGAATGAGAGCACGGACGACCTGGCAAAACAAGGGGCCGCCCTGCCCACAACCGCCCGCTCGCTGATCAGGGCGGTTCATTGTGCGTTCTCGCATCAATGGCGCGACAACTGGACCGAGTCACTATTCAAGCCGCTCCTCGAAAGCACGCCGCCGCTCCCTATCTCCGGAGAGGACCGAGAGTACGCCGTTTCGGTGCACCAGATGGGGACGGGCCACTGAGGCCGCTCGGTCCAGTACGTCACTGTACGTGTACCGAATCGGCTGTCTCAACTCCGCGGCGTGCCAGCAGTGCCCAGACAAGCGGTGCCTCGTGGCGCTCTGCGCTGTGTGCCGAGAAGAGGCTGATGTGCCGGAGCACGTGCTGCTCCGCTGCCTGACCTTCGCTGGCTCAGCCTCGAACACACCGCTCCACTGATTTTTGTGGCCCCGGAGGCCGGAACTTCCAGCTCCGGCCTTGTTTCACGGCACGACGCTACAGTGCGCTAAGGGTATTGAGGTATTGGGCTTCTGTGGAAATAAAAAACTTATTCAGACACTCAAACATGGGAGAGCGTCCAGGGCCCCGGGACGCTCTGTCTGGTTGATATAGCCTTGGCCAGTACTCGGTAGATGTGCACATGTGCTTTATATAAAAGTGGCTAGGTTTGGCACAAATCGGCACCCAATTTCCGGCGCAAATCATGCAGAAATTTCAGCGCAAAATCGCTTGCGCCGAATTCCGGCGCAAGAACGGTCTCATGGGCGTCCGGCGTAGTGTGTGGATGTTTTCCGGTCTGGCCTGAGCCGAACGATGGGGGTGCCGGCCGGGTGGTCACAGACGGTAGGGGCGGCGGCTTGCCGGCCCTGATTGGTGGACCTCCTTGGCTTGTCAGGAGGCGGCAGCAGCACAGGGTTCAAAGTGCCTGCGTGTCTACTCTGTGTTAAGCCGTCTGGGGACGGCCACAGCTCAGTTGTGGCCTTATTGGTCGTGTTTTGCATGTTATTATCTTGGTAATTTTTAAGAGAGGGTTTTGCTCCTCATTCATCAATTCAAATGTTTCAAATTATGAAAATATGCCCACGGGCTAGTTGGCTTACCTATTGTATGTAATTGCTTATCAGTGCACTTGCTTAAAGACTGGTGCTTGGTATGCACTTTATGATGCTGTGAAGTGTGTACACAGGCACATTGAGCTATGCTGACTCGAATGTGATTCCAGAGCTGGAGAATGATGTGGATGTCAACAACTACTTGGCTCAAATTAGCACCTTTGGTGTGGAAAGACTGCGTAAGTTGTGATACTTTTTGCTGAAGCACTTCTAGATGCCTGAGACTGAAATTTACACTGACAAAACATTGATTGGGTACTTGAATCAATGATGCTGATGATACCTATGAGTTTAAGGATACCACAGGGACAAAGGCCATCCACTTTGATACCTGAATCTATGAAGTACACTACTTACTCACTTATGTCATTTATGTATTATTTCACTGTTTACAGCCTCCCTAGTTTCAATTCATCCCATAAGGATGTTTGACAAAAAGTGGATTGCAATTTGTTGCATGCCATGAAATAACCTGACAGCAAGCTTTGAGTTCATAATTTGACATGCCTATATCTTTACCTAAGTGTCTTGACCAATAAACAAGTGAGTAAGGTTTTTCATTGTGGAGAAAAATGAAGTAAACAAATGTCATTGTTAGTATTTAGTATACACCATATGGTGTAGTAATACACCATACCAATGGTATGGTGTATTGATCAGGCACTGAGGGCTCTAGGATCCAAGAGGAGTTAGTAATAGCCAATGGTATGGTGTATTGATCAGGCACTGAGGGCTCCAGGATCCAAGAGGAGACGGCTCACACCCTGCAGCAGACACAGGACCTGGCCTTCCAGAACTACAAGACGTTTGTGGAGACAGCAGAGTGCTCATCAGCAGTCTTGGAGGAGGTGAGGACTGAGGTGCCTTTAGTGCTGGATTAGTAATACTTGCATTATGCCCAAGGTGGGGAAAATCAGTAAGAAGTATCCCCCTGGTGCAGAGAGGAGTGAAGCGACCCTGTTTTGTGTTCCTTTTTCGATAAAAGGTATGGTTGTTGTAAAATTAGTATTAAATAAAAAATAGGTGATAGCAGTAGACAGCGTGAAATGTGGGTCAGAATTCAGAAGTGCCCTACCTACATGGAGGCAAAGCATATCTTGGCTGAAATATTGAAACTTTTGGCAACTGGCAACTGGCAATGTCTTCTCACAGACATTTTCTAGTAAACCATCATCTTTTTGTACATAATTCAACGATACAACCGTATAGCAGCTGGCGTTGACATAGATTGGCACTGGTGGCCAAAGCTTAACAGGGATGCAATTACCAATGTCTTACAGTAAATCTAATATGTTGGTTATTTTAGCAGCAGATCGATATTCGCTATTCTGTTGCTGGTAGACCACACTCGCCGCTCTCAGATATGCCGCTACTGGCATAAAATGTCAAAACTGGAGCTGAAACTTTGGGCTAAATTGAGTGTGAGCTGAATGTGGGCCAACTTTTATTTCATACAACTGGTAGCATTTGCGGTAACGACGAATGTCTGTCAACACTAACGGATTTGTGATTGTAGATATTGTGCTAAATTGACGGATATAAAATAAACGCGATATATTGTGCATCTCATGACCGACACCTCCGTTAGCCCAGTTTGTGGCTCACTGACGCGCTGGGTCGGGCTGACGGTGCCGCTGCGCGCTCCCCTCCGCCAGTTCACCTCCGTGGAGGAGCGGCTGGACCACCTGCTGGCCGAACTGCCCGAGTTCGCGGCGCGCTGCGCAGAGTTCGGCCGGCGCGGCGGCGAGATCCACGCGCGCCGCCGCCTCAACTCAGCCACGCTCACCAAGCACACGGAGCTGCTGGAGGTGCTCGAGCTGCCGCAGCTCATGGACACAGCCGTGAGGAATGGCTACTACGACCAGGCCATGCAGCTGGTGACGCACGTCCGGGCGCTGGAGAAGAAACACGGACACATCAAACTGGTGGAGGTGAGCGGCGGGCGGCTGTCGCCGGTGGGAGCCGCCGCCGGTGAGAGCTGCACATGGTGGGAGGTGCCGGTGGCGGGGCGATGTGGTGCCGAGGAGATGTCAGCCTTGCATTGGTATTGGGGGCGGAGGGAAGAGGTTTCATTCCTCTGACGGTATCCCAGCTTTTTTCCTGATTACGAGCGAGCGAGCGCAGCAAGCGAAGCGAGTCTTTTCAATATAACGGAAAAATCTCAGTATGAGCGGCCCGGCCCGGCCCGGCCTGTAACGCTTTTGAGAGGCTTATATCTCAGCAACCGCTGAACCGATTGGCCTGCGGTCTTTTTTGCTGGGTAGCCCCATCCCTTCTAACCCGTAATTGACTACTTTTGATACATCTCAGTGACCGTCGTGGCACGTGCCACGTGAAAAGTCAAGGGTGATCAAGCAGTTTTGCAAAAGTTATGATTTTGAGAGGCCCATATCTCCGCAGCGGCTTGAGCGATTGTCTTGCGGTCATCTTTATGGGGTAGCTGCATCCCTTCTACCAAAGGTCGGATACTCTTCATCTATGTGAGTGACCCCCACTGCACGTGCAAAATACAAAAAGAAGAGGTGCCAAATTTGTTCCCATTTCAGTAACTCGGTAATTACTGGGGCGATTTCGCTGAAACTTGGCATACAGGTAGGCACCCACAAGACAATGCATTCCCATGTGTTGCGGTTAGGGTGCTACTGCACGTGCGCACGTGCAGGGGGCGTTTCCAGATCTCGAGAACGGCTGGGCCGATTGCGCTCAAATTTGGTACACGGTTGGGGACCGGTTAGTAGGGTGCCGTGCAAAAGTCATTTTGGACCCCGTTTGCACGTGCGCACGTGCAGAATGCCGCTTCCAGATCTCAGGAACGGCTGGGCCGATTGCGTTCAAATTTGGCACACCGCTAGCGACCGGTTAGAAGGGTGCTTTGCACAAGCCCGTTGGAAGTACCCTCTCGCCCTTCCGCACGTGCAGGGCTCACCATCTCGCTCGCTCGTTATTCGCCCAAAAGGCGTTTTACTGGTCTGTATGGTTTCCATTTCTGACCTGCTGTTTTTTATGAGCGAGCGAGCGCAGCGAGCGAAGCGAGTCTTTTCAATATAACGGACAAATCTCAGTATGAGCGGCCCGGCCCGGCCCGGCCCGGCCCGGCCCGGCCCGGCCTGTAACGCTTTTGAGAGGCTTATATCTCAGCAACCGCTGGACCGATTGGCCTGCGGTCTTTTTTGCTGGTTAGCCCCATCCCTTCTACCCCGTAATTGACTACTTTTGATACATCTCAGTGACCGTCGTGGCACGTGCCACGTGAAAAGTCAAGGGTGTTCAAGTTGTTTTGCAAAAGCAGTGATTTTGAGAGGCTCATATCTCAGCAGCCGCTTGGGCGATTAACTTGCGGTAATTTTTGTAAGGTAGCAGCATCCCTTCTACCAAAAATAGGATACTGCCGATGCATGTGGGTCACCCCCAGTGCACGTGCAAAATACAACAATGAGAGGTGTCAAATTTGTTCCCACTTTAATAACTCGGTAATTACTGGGGCGATTTCGCTGAAACTTGGCATACAGATAAGCACCCACCAGGCAATGTATTCCCATGTGTTGCGGTTAAGGTGCTACTGCACGTGCGCACGTGCAGGGGGCGTTTCCATATCTCGAGAACGGCTGGGCCGATTGCGCTCAAATTTGGTACACGGTTGGGGACCAGTTAGTAGGGTGCCGTGCAAAAGTCAGTTTGGACCCCGTTTGCACGTGCGCACGTGCAGAATGCCGCTTCCAGATCTCAGGAACGGCTGGGCCGATTGCGTTCAAATTTGGTACACCGCTAGCGACCGGTTAGAAGGGTGCTTTGCGCAAGCCCGTTGGAAGTACCCTCTCGCCTTTCCGCACGTGCAGGGCTCACTATCTCGCTCGCTCGTTCTTCGCCCAAAAGGCGTTTTACTGGTACTAGAGGTACAGGTTTACGCGATAACTGTCCCCGCGTTCGATGTCTCTCGGACGACGAAGATTCTACGCCGTCCGGCCAATCACGCTCCATAACCGCAGCCAAGCCCCCGCTGACCTTGGACAGGATTGGCCAGACGACGTAGAATCTTCGTCGTCCGAGAGACACCGAACGCGGGGTCTATGTTTTGATATGTATGATAAACGGATGCATTAGTTTGGGTGTAGAAACTTGCATTTTTATTGGTATTATTTGTGTAGAACTGGGTAACTGCTTTTAATTGAACTATAAAATATGATGGTGATGCATGCGAGTTGTTCGAGCCCTTAATAAGTTAGGATGTTACTCAATTCAACCTTACCCTACCCTACCCTACCCCTACCCCTAACCTACCCTACCCTACCCCTACCCTACCCTACCCTACCCTACCCTACCCTACCCTACCCTACCCTACCCTACCCCTACCCTACCCTGCCCCTACCTCTACCCCTACACTACCCTACCTTACCATACCCTACCCTACCCTACCCTACCCTTACCCTACCCTACCCTACCCTACCCTACCCTACCCTACCCTACCCTACCCTACCCTACCCTACCCCTACCCCTACCCTACTGTACCCTACCCTACCCTACCCTACCCCTACACTACCCTACCCTACCCTACCCTACCCTACCCTACCCTACCCTACCCTACCCTACCGTTACACTACCCTACCCTTCCCCCTTACACTACCCTACCTTACCCTACCCTACCTACCCCTACCCCTACTCCTACCCTACCCTACCCCACACCTAACTTACCCTACCCTACCCTACCCTACCCTACCCTACCCTACCCTACCCTACCCTACCCTACCCTACCCTACCCTACCCTACCCTACCCTAACCTACCCTACCCTACCCTACCCTACCCTACCCTACCCTACCCTACCTAACTGTACCCTACTTAACTCTACCCTACCCTACCCTACACTACCCTACCCTACCCTACAATCCCCTACCCAACCCTACCCTACAATCCCCTACCCTACCCTACCCTACCCCACCCTACAATCCCCTACCCTACCCTACAATCCCCTACCCAACCCTACCCTACAATCCCCTACCCTACCCTACCCTACCCTACCCTACACTACACTACACTTCCACCGACAGTCCAAGTTTCAGCTAAATCGGCCCAGAAACGGCTGAGATATTGCAAAAACAAATTAATTGTATTTACTGGCGAATCCCCTTGGCGAGCGGTGCCTTGTGTCGGCCTTCGTTGGCTCTGATGCTTTTCACTCAGTTTTTTAAGCGAACAACTGAGCCTAAAGCACGTGCCCTCTGCTCGGCGCCGGTCGCGGCCCCACCACGTGCACACCGCTGAACCCGCACCCTCGAAAAGTTGATACGACAAATGGGTGCACGCATCCGACTTACAGCGAAAATTTCACCCCCGTAGCCCTCACCGTTCCCGAGCAATAGTGTGTTTTTGCCATGTCTAATGTTAACCCTATGGGCACGCGAGCACGCGCCGCGGGCGCACCCCCGGCCGCATCATGTCCAAAATTTAATACGACCTACGTGTAAAGGTGGCCCACATCGCTGTAAAATTTCACGGCCGTAGGTCAACAGACGCCGCCGCAATAAGCGCTACAAAGTGACTACGTCGCACACGGCGTGGGCGGGGTACTTTTTAGGATTTATTACGAGCGAGCGAGCGCAGCAAGCGAAGTGAGTCTTTTCAATATAACGGAAAAATCTCAGTATGAGCGGCCCGGCCCGGCCCGGCCCAGCCCGGCCCAGCCCGGCCCGGCCCGGCCTGTAACGCTTTTGAGAGGCTTATATCTCAGCAACCGCTGGACCGATTGGCCTGCGGTCTTTTTTGCTGGGTAGCCCCATCCCTTCTACCCCGTAATTGACTACTTTTGATACATCTCAGTGACCGCCGTGGCACGTGCCACGTGAAAAGTCAAGGGTGTTGAAGCAGTTTTGCAAAAGTAATGATTTTGAGAGGCCCATATCTCAGCAGCGGCTTGAGCGATTGTCTTGCGGTCATTTTTATAGGGTAGCTGCATCCCTTCTACCAAAGGTCGGATATTCTTGATCTATGTGAGTGACCCCCACTGCACGTGCAAAATACAACAATAAGAGGTGCTAAATTTGTTCCCATTTCAGTAACTCGGTAATTACTGGGGCGATTTTGCTGGAACTTGGCATACAGGTAGGCACCCACCAGGCAATGCATTCCCATGTGTTGTGGTTAGGGTGCTACTGCACGTGCGCACGTGCAGGGGGCGTTTCCAGATCTCGAGAACGGCTGGGCCGATTGCGCTCAAATTTGGTACACGGTTGGGGACCGGTTAGTAGGGTGCCGTGCAAAAGTCATTTTGGACCCCGTTTGCACGTGCGCACGTGCAGAATGCCGCTTCCAGATCTCAGGAACGGCTGGGCCGATTGCGTTCAAATTTGGTACATCGCTAGCGACCGGTTAGAAGGGTGCTTTGCACAAGCCCGTTGGAAGTACCTTCTCGCCCTTCTGCACGTGCAGGGCTTACTATCTCGCTCGCTCGTTCTTCGCCCAAAAGGCGTTTTACTGGTAATATAGAAGTGAGTCTTTTCAATATAACGGAAAAATCCCAGTATGAGCGGCCCGGCCGGGCCCGGCCTGTAACGCTTTTCAGAGGCTTATATCTCAGAAACTGCTGGACCGATTGGCCTGCGGTCTTTTTTGCTGGATAGCCCCATCCCTTCTACCCCGTAATTGACTACTTTTAATACATCTCAGTGACCGTCGTGGCACGTGGCACGTGAAAAGTCAAGGGTGTTCAAGCTGTTTTGCAAAAGTAGTGATTTTGAGAGGTTCATATCTCAGCAGCCGCTTGGGCGATTGACTTGCGGTAATTTTTGTAGGGTAGCAGCATCCCTTCTTCCGAAAATAGGATATTCTCGATGCATGTGGGTCACCCCCAGTGCACGTGCAAAATACAACAATAAAAGGTGTCAAATTTGTTCCCATTTTAATAACTCGGTAATTACTGGGGCGATTTCGCTGAAACTTGGCATACAGGTAGGCACCCACCAGGCAATGCATTCCCATGTGTTGCGGTTAAGGTGCTACTGCACGTGCGCACGTGCAGGGGGCGCTTCCAGATCTCGAGAACGGCTGGGCCGATTGCGCTCAAATTCGGTACACGGTTTGGGACCAGTTAGAAGGGTGCCGTGCAAAAGTCAGTTTGGACCCCGTTCGCACGTGCGCACGTGCAGAATGCCGCTTCCAGATCTTAGGAACGGCTGGGCCGATTGCGTTCAAATTTGGTACACCGCTAGCGACCGGTTAGGAGGGTGCTTTGCGCAAGCCCGTTGGAAGTACCCTCTCACCGTTCCGCACGTGCAGCCTGCAGGGCTCACTATCTCGCTCGCTCGTTCTTCGCCCAAAAGGCGTTTTACTGGTTATTAAATTGCGTTAAAGGAAAAGGGCCACCTTCGTGAAATATGAAGATATCGTTGTTTTTCATTTTGACATTATTATTTTTCATTTTCTTTTAAAAACTGGTGCCAGAAGTGCACAATTCGCTAAAAAGTATTTAAAACTATTTAACATATTGGTACTATGTTGATACTCTACGGCACCTACTGTATGATGGCATAGCGATGACGTCACACTCAAGCCAATCAGCGTTCAGAAGACAGACTCGTCAGATTGTGTCAGATAAGCTGATTGGTTAAAGCTGAGCTGGTTGGAGCTGATTGGTAAAAAACCAAAGCCTCGCCGCGGGTGGCTGTATTGTCGGATAAGAACGCATTCCTGGGATAAGGACGCATTCCTGGCGTATTTTCTTTTAAAATTGCCGATAACTACGAATGGAGGCCGAAATCGGCCGTAAGGAGGTAGACAGCTAGGTTTTCGGACACGGGCTACAAGATGGCTATCTCAGTTTCAATCCCCATGTTAAAGGTGGCCCTTTTCCTTTAAGACGGTGACTGAGTGACGTTCAGCTCATCCACCGTCTGACGTATGATCTAATGTGCGTTTTTTCAGAGTATCGTGAATGATGTCCAGCTGGCCTACCGTCTGATGCTGACCCAACTGGTGTCTCAGCTGCGTACCAACATTCAGCTGCCGCAGTGCCTCAAGGTGATCGGTAAGTAATAGGGATTGTGCCACTGTGTAATTGCAGCCTACTCCAAGCCGAGGCTTCCCGACAGTGATTGTGCACACCACTTTATGGTTAGATATACCTAAGTATTTAACCAGGACTAAATGTCCAATTAGGACTCTGCCGTTAATATTTCTTGAGCATCGTTTCATTGCGATGCGCACATGTCCCACTTTATCTAGTTCCAGCTGTGTCCTACCCCCTCAGCCCATGTAACTTGGCATATCCCCCCTCCCCAAGTCGGTACATTTGTGCCTCATCCCTCCCCTTGCATCATTCTGTGTCCACCAGTGGCACACGACATCAGTGTCTCTCGTTGACGGCCTCTGCTGACGCTGTCCTCTCATATCACCAGGCCACCTGCGCCGTATGGAAGTATACACAGAGTTCGAGCTGAGGCTCAAATTCCTTCAGGCCAGGAACGCCTGGCTGGAGGAGCAGCTGGCAAACATCAGTCGCGAGGACCGTGAGTAGGCGACAAACATCCAGTTTCGCCCGGCCGCCGCGACCGCAGTGGTGGCGCTGCTGTCGCCGCATGGGCTATGCCGGGCCGCTGTGGCGGCGGTATTGCTGTTTGCGTTCGCATTAGAGCTAGGTAGCGATCATTACGAAAATCTTGACGCGTGTATCCGATCATCTACCGCTGATTCCTGCCCTCCGGGCCGGGCATGGTCAGATAGCACATAGCCGTATTGATGGTTGGAGCTGCGCCCACATTTTCTCCAGGGCCGACATACGCTCGTCCAGCTTACCTATGGCATGTCCATCCCGACGACTCACACTATCTCTCCTCGTTCTCTTTTCCCCTGACAGCTTACCACCACATCTCGAAGACGATCGAGGTGAGCCGGGTGGGTCTGTTCGACATCGTCACCCAGTACAGGGCCGTATTTAGCGACGAAAGCGCCCTGCTGCAGGCGGGCGCCGACGAGGCCGCGCCGGCCATCTTCTACGAGTGGATCAACCTCAAGGTAGGCAACTCGAGCTCCATCGGAGGTATTTTCAGCTCTGCTGGATGTCGGGGATGTACTGGCGATGCCAATCAATGTGATTATATGTAGTAGGTAGCCGGATTTCGTCGTATTGCCGGTCTCGTCGCATTGCCAATGGCTCGGAATTTCGATATGCAGTGCAGAGAATGTCTGATATTATCATGTATGTAGGTAAGCTGGATTCGGTGATCTTGGGGCTGGCGCTCTTCTTGTAAAGGAAATATGGGATTCAAGTCCATGTTTACAGGTAATCAATGCATAATTGTTTCTAACAATCCGATCATAGTCATTAGCGTCAACAGCGATGTTCACCATCTTTTCTTGGAATCATAATCACAACCCGCCGGTGCAGCGGAGCGTGAGGTCACTGGCCTGACGCCGCCTCGTCCCCACCAGGTGGGCCAGTTCCTGAGCACGCTGCGGCAGGACCTGGCGCGCGGTGTCGGCGGCCGGCTCGACTCGCTGCTCTCACAGACCATGTACTTTGGTCTGAGTCTGGCGCGGATCGGAGCCGACCTGCGGCCGCTGGCGGCGCCGCTCTTCAGCCGGGCGGCGCTGGCGCAGTTCGAGCGCGCCGTCACTGCCGCCACCACGCGCTTCCGCCAGTCGGTGGACGCGTTCACGTGTATGCGCGCGCGCGTCTCGGCGCCGGCCTCCTCTGCGCCGGCACCGCCGGGGGACCAGGTGAGATAGGGAAACTGTGACGTAAGCGTGGAACCTACTATAAACGAAATCATGATACTTCAATGCCAATTTACAAACTGTCGTAAAGCTTTGTTTGTGTTTTTAGCACGGATGTGCAGCTGTTACTTTGGCTTCGGTATGTCTGTTGTCGGAGTGTCTGACTGTTCGTTTGTAATAGCTTCATTGTTGAACTACGTGCTCATAAATCACGAAACAAAATGTTTTAAATCGTCTTGCCCTTTGCCTTGTGCTTCCCTTCATTGTAGTGCAACTTAATGCTCTCTCAATCATCGGCTTCCTTATCTTCGGCTGCCTTCTTCGGCCCCCTCAAATCGTATCATATCATATCGGCTTCCCCCGCAAAACGTCCTACTCCCTCCACGAACCCCACTCTACCCATCCGCGGTATCTGAGTACCGACTGCTCTACCCAGGACATTCTGCAGCCGCCGACGTCGCTGCTGGACTACCTGCCGCTGGCACACTACTGTAACGGCGTGCTGGCGGCCTTCAACGAGCTGCGCCTGTGCCCGGCGCTCGGCCTCGTGCACGACGTCAGCTTTCGGCTCAGCGACAGCCTGACGGCCGTGGTCGGACGCGTCGTCGAGCTCTACCACACGGTACGTCAGCGGCCGAGCCGACTTGGCCTATTCGCGGAGGTTTCCGTGTACTACCGGAGAACCCGGTGTGCTCCCTGATATTCCTGCGTACTCCGTTTTTTTTTTCGGTCTACGATTCACCACCCCGCTACTTGAATATCGGTTTAGAATCCAGAGGATGCTGACCTTTCTAGCAGCTCATATTTCGTCATGCACCGCCTTCTCCGCACTTCTGCCAGGGTTCCCGAAATAGTTACCTACGTGATGCTCGTTAATACGCAAAACTTTTGGCAAGATCCATTACCCAACCGGTTTCAACCGGTTACATGAAAACGGAGCATGTAAATTTGCCAACCCACCAGTGTGTTTGCAAAGCAGTTAGCCGTTGAATATTCAGAAATATCCTTTCAGGCAGCTGATACTTTATCAAGAGAATCTTTGGAAGCTCTTCGGCTTCCTTCATCGGCCCCCTCGCATCGTTAACCCGAAAACGAACTGGGAGCTGCGGGGATATTTGTAGTTATATTATAGTAGTGTCTAATGTCTATGTTGCTCCTACAATCCCTACAATGGCTGAATTGGGAAACATCTGCCATTGCTAAAGCAGCTCATCCTCCAGAGAAGAAAATAACATGGTTATATTCTTAGGTCAAATTACTCGTAGGGTAGTCAAGTGCGCTGCATTAAAGGGAATGATTCACTTGCCCGAAATATTTTTTTGCAATGCTTTGTATGCTCAAAATGATCAGGAAAGAAAATTAAACCTTTCTATAAACAATATTATTTTCTATATATTTACAGGAATTCGGAAGAACAATATTCTCCATATATAAAATATTGTTTGACGCGGAAGCTTAGTATGTGTTGACCAATCATATTGCGTAGGACAAGCCCATTGGCTGTAAGCAGCATGCTGATTGGCTGACGATGACGTGGCCGCTGCATTCCTCAGGAAGGCACGCATCCCTCTGCAAGGCACTCTTTTCGGAACGAGAAATGGAATATCTTGGTCTAGGGTGATCTTAGGTTAGGGCCGCAAAAGCTTCTGATTTATGCTAGTTTCAGCTTAAGCTACAAAACTGCTATTCCAGTTCAAAACCCCATGGTAAAAGGTGAAGCCCCGCTGGAGGGGGAGGGCAGAATGTGCCCCCCCCCCCCCTCCCGTTTTTCGTCAATAACTTCTAAACGCATCACGCCAGCGACGTCAAACTTTCAGTAACTTATCATACCTCAATTTAACACGTTTGCTGAAAATTTGAGCGAAATCCGTCTGAATTTTTTTTGAGAAAATGACGTATAACCCTCGCCCTGGCAGGGCATTTTTCATAACACGGCCTGGCAGGGGGGGTCGATGCGACCCCCCCTCGCGATTGGCTCCTATGGCACCTAGAAACACCAAATTTGGTAGGTAGGTGGGCCCCCTGGAGTTCTCGCCCCTGTGCAAATTTGGTTGCTCTAGGTCAGTATTTAGGGGGGTTTTGGGGGGTATAAATGTAAAAATTTCGCTAAAAACAGGTCAAAAGTTTTTCGCTTATAACTTTTGATCTAATTAAGATAGAGCAAAAAGAAAAGCACCAGTGAACTCAGCACGTCAAGGCGCGTCGAATGATATACTTTTTAGCTTGCTTAAGTGTACTCAAAGTTTTTCTTAAATTTTAAGTAAACTTAAATTAATAAATTAAGTTCAAGCTAACCAAATTGCATCATATTGCATATCACTCGATTCGGCTGATCACCAGGAACACAATGATACCATTTTTTAAGCTCTAGCGTCATTATGTGCAAAGTTATTGGCAAAAACGTCATTTGACCTCAGTTGACCTCATTTGACCTGACCCATGGATAAGTACACAAAACAAAGAAGCACCAAGTGACCTGCTGTTAAGTACTGTGGTTTCAAAGCACAAAAGTGATAGAAAGAAGCGAATATCTCCAGTATTTTCCGAAATTTGTATTTTCCCATAGGCTTAACATTACGACGTAATGACCTCTAACTGACCTCAGGTCAGTGACCTAAAAAAAAACGAGCTATATGTTATACAACTCGGTGAACTTAGCATATCCTGAAAGTTTGAAGGAAATCAGTCCAAAACTGTGAGTTGGACAGGTGCAAAAAGAAAATTGAAATTTGACCATGACCTTGTACCGGTTTTTCTGACCTGGTGACCTGACCCAAGGTCACCCGGACCTGAAATTTCCAGGTCATATGTAAAAAGGTTGCCCCATAGGCTGTGCCAAATTTGGCGGCGCTGCGCGCCGCCGTTTTTACGCTATCTTCGAAAAACCTTAGGGGGGGTCGCATCGACCCCCCAGCCAGGGCGAGGGTTAACCCTCGCCGGACCTATTGGTTTTCTACATACGCGCCGGCCGAGGGGGGGGGGGGCGGGTACGACCCCCCCCTCGCCGTTTCGCCCCTGGTGGAGCTAGCGCGTCGCGGAAAAAACGAGCGTGTGCGCCGTTACGAGACGCAGAGATTGGTACCCGATTTTAAGGTCCTAGGTCAACCGGTGACCTCTGAGGTCAGGTCAAGTGCCCCAAGGTACGGTTCAGTTTTTGGTGAATAACTTCGCAAAAAACGGCCGCAGAGCGCCGATTTTGGCAGCATCGTGTTCGTCTCGCTCAGGCGCGTCGAATGATATACTTTTTGTCCGGGTCAGGTCAACTTGGGGTGTTGACCTCAGGTCAAGGTCAGGTCAGCACCCCCAGGTCACGAAGTTGGTCGAAAGAGGTCATGTCGCATATCATTCGATTCGGCAGGTCTTCCTGAGTCCATTGGTGGCTTTCCCCACTCGCTAGCTCAATTTGATCAAGAGTTATTGACGAAAAACTAATATGACCTTGATGACGCCATAAATGACGTCACGCAAGGTCAACATTGAAAAAGTGACGCATCTAACCTTGCAAGGAGTGCATAAAATCACGATTCTGTGTGCTTGAGATAGTTGGAGATCGCTCCCGGCGCCAGAATAGCAGTTTTCATTTTTCCCCATTGACTTATAATGGTGAGGTCACGAAAATGACCTGACCTCATATGACCTTTAGGAAAAATCCGAGATATACAAGTTGTGGGACTCATAATGGATACTAGATCCTGCAAGTTTCATTTTCCTGTGACATCTCCTCTGGCAGTGAGAGCGTTGCGAAGTTGCGACATCTGAAGACCGTGCAGAGGTTCACTTATGACGTCATAGGTCAGTGACCTGACCTGACCCAAAAATGCGGTTGGTGTCAAAAGATGCGGCTTGGATCAAAGGTCAGGTATGCCAAGTTTCAGCTCTCTATCGCCAGCGTGTTCGGAGCTATCGCGAAAAAACCCTATGGGGGGGGCGGCACCCGCCCCCCCCCCCCCCTCGGCCGGCGAGGGTTAAGTGACGTCATGTCCGCCATTTTCGCCTCAAAAACGACAAATTTTCAAACGCCGCTAACACCTTCATTTTTAAAGGAATCAAGACGTAACAAAAAAGGTTATACGTGATTCTACTTTGTCTATCAAATGGCTATCTCGGTTTTTTGAAAATTTTGGATTTGGCCCAATTTTTTTCTAAAAAAAACTGATTTTTTTTTAAAATGATTATAAAATCCAAAATTTTGAGTGTATATAAAACAATATTTGTGAGAGAAGTTGTCTATGTTCACCTACATACCAATTTTTAGAAGAATCGGTTGGAAAATGTGAGAGTTATTCAAAATTTTATGACGTCACGACACACAAAATTTTTGAAAAATGAATTTTTTGGAAGTTCTAGACCTGGTACGGAAACAATAATAGCACAATTCGATTCACCGTGAAAACTGCATCAGATAGACACCTTTTTAGGTCTTAACAAATAACAACCATCTTCAAAATTTGACCTCACTTGACCTGACCTCGACCTGAAATTAATCCAGAAGTGGTCCATTTCACTTATTGAGTCTGCCTATTGAATTCTATAAATAAAATGACCCATAAAACATATGTCGCACATGCCCTTTTCTATATTTCGCTTTTGGTGACCTGACCTGACCTTGACCTTGACCTTTGCATGATATTGTATGCAACGAATATTGTCTTGGTAGCCTAAGAACACGTTTTGGGCAATCAGTCTCAGTTCATTCTTCGGCAACTACGGTGCAGGGCCGATACTGTACAAACTTGCATTTTGTACCCTGACCTTGACCTGACCTCTGACCTTCTTAAGCAAGAATGGCTCTTAAGATCCGCCTTGTTGAGAGCTTTCGATTGCCGTTTTCCCCGTCTTTCTACGACCATCGGTTCGGAAGTTAGACAGGGGGGGCAGAATCTGCCCCCCCCCCCCCCCCCCAGCAGGGCGCGTATGGCTGAATAGCCCAGCGGGGCGCGTGTTAAGGCAGGATGTAACATCACATGCATGATGTCTGACTGACATATTTCAAAATGTGTGTTAAGCAATCTATATATTAAATATATCTTTAATTGTTTACATAATTGTTCAATGATCATGGCGTTTATAGTGGTATTTGCTGGAACTTGCTTGCCTCTTTGAAACAATGGAATATGGTGTCATTTTTGTGTGTGTATCTTATGCGCCCAATTTTGGCAGTGCTTAGATTTTGGCATGAGTTTAGTTTTGCTACGTGACAACGCACATTTGTAATTCATCAATCATCTAACGATATTAGGTACACTTACGCCTACAAAGCGTGTCGGGTTGATCCTCACTCACACATGCAAGCATGCACTCATACATGCATAGGTGCACACAGATAGTTGATTTCATGTTGATTAAGGAGGTTCCTCATTAATTTGTAACTCCATCTTTGTCTCAATTATAGCGCAACTCGCTGAGCACAAACATTTTCAAAGTTTCTCAACGGGTTATTTCATTTACTCATGTACTCAGTACATTAGATATGCCTACTGCTTGCAAATGTGCCGTTTCGGCAGCCATACTTTTCACTGGGAGCTGCTTTAGTGCAGTGTGCCCTTTATAAAAAAAGCATCGTACCGGTGGCGTGTTCTGTTGTTATTTTCGGCCTGCAGGGCGGCTCGCTCTCATCGATTGGCATGCACACGGTGGCTGCTGGCTTCTCTCTGCGTCGGCAGATCGGTTACTGTTTGACCCGATCGCCGGGCGGTCGCCACGGTAACGGCCCGCGGCCTGTGCGCTCGGTCCGCCTCCGCCAGCCGCTGAGCCGCAGAAACCCGTCATCCCCCGTCTTCCGCCTGCCGCGGGACAGCCAGAGACTGACTGAGACTTACCGTCGTCCCCCCTTCTCTTACAGGACAGAGACTGACTGAGGCTTACCGCCCCGCCCTCTCACCTACAGGACAGCCAGGGGCTGACTGAGGCTTACCGTCGCCCCTCCCTCCTCCCCTTCTCACACACACAGGACAGAAACTGACTGAGGCTCGCCGCCTTCCATCCTTCTCTAATCCCCCCCCCCCCCCCACAGGTCAGCCAGGGACTGACGGCTACTCCCCTCCCCCCTCCCCCTCCACAGGACAGTCATGGTCTGACGATTACTCCCCCTCCCCCACGACAGCCAGAGTGTGAAGACTGTCCCCCCCCCCCCCCACACACACACACAGGGCAGCCACAGGACAGTCGGGGTCTGACGGTTACTCACCCCTCCCCCCCCCCCACAGGACAGCCGGGGTCTGACGGTTACTCCCCCCCCCCCCTCACAGGACAGCCAGGGTCTGACGGAGGAGGAGCGCGTCAACTACAGCCGCTTCTGCCGGTGTCTGGCCCGCGATCTGGTGCCCTACCTGAGCGGCTGCCTGGCGGCCGTGTTCCCCGTGCAGCAGCTGGCGCCGGCGCTCGGCCTCACTGTGGCAGTCGTCACCAAACGGGTACGGTAAACCGGGGGTCTAGAAGGGTACGGTACCACGGGGTCACTAAATGGGTATGGTAAGCCTGGCGTCATTGGACGGGTACTGTGTACTGAGAGTTGACGGTACGGAACACTTGGAAGTGGAAGTCATGACTGTATGCCGTACGATACACCGAGAGTCACAGTACGGTGCACTAAGGGCCATGGTACGGTGCACTGCGAGTCACATTACAGTGTGAGTCACGGTACAATACACTGGGAGTTACGGTACGGTCACAGGGAATCACGGTACGGTGCACTGGGAGTTACACTTACACTGGGAGTCACGGTACACCGGGATTGTCAATACACTGGAAGTTACGGTACGGTATACCGGGAGTCACGGTACGGTACACAGGGGATCACGATACGGCACACTGGGAGTCACGGTACTCTGGGAGCTACGGCACACCGGAAGTCACGGTACACTGGGAGTCACAGTTCACTTGGAGTCACGGTAGGTAACACAATAGGATCACGGTGCGATAAACTGGGACTTGGGAAGCATCACTGTTCACTCGGTTATCTGACCACCCTTACCGAACGGTGTACGGCAGTGACGAGACCGTTCACCAACTACCGGGGTCTCACTGTGAGACATCGCTGGTGTATAAAGCTCTCTATGTGGTACGGAACTATCCTTTGGTGTTCATTGAGTGTGCCGATGTGATGTTGCACCATATTCCGGTGCTCACGGGCTGTCTGTGCCGTCTGTCGCTAGGGTATCGGCTCCCTGGACGTACCGGCCCTGGTCAGTCCGCTGCAGGAGTTTCTGCAGTCGCAGGAGCCGCCTCCCGCCGCGCCCCAGCTGCCAGTGGCATCCTCCGCCCCGCCGGCAGAGTCGCCAGGTACGGCTGAGACTCAGTCTGACCCGGCCGGAGCTGCCGCCGAGCTGAGCAGCGCCGCGCCGGCCGCGGAGCAGTCGACCGGTCACAGCGCGGACCCGGACCGGTCGACCGGGCCGCCGGCACAGACAGCGGGGCCGGTCGGGTCTCACGGACCGCCGCTGCCGGAGACGGCGGCCGCAGCTGCTGGTGAGGCAGGAACGGCGGGCTCGTCAGCTGCTGGTGAGGCGGGAACGTCGGGCTCGGCAGCTGCTGGTGATATACCGACTGAAGGAGCTGGGGCTGCACCCTTAGCTGCTGGAGGGACGGCGGCCGACGGAGCTGGGCCGGCGACCACTGCTGAGACGCCGGCCGACCGGGACACCGCCGCGGAGACACAGGGAGCTCCCGGCGGCGGCGCGGCGGACCCCGCTCTGCTGCACCAGGCCCTGGAGGAAGAGGACGAGGGACTGGTGATGACGGCCCCGCCGCGGGACCAGTAGCGACAGACTGCCGGCGCCGGTGTTTGACGCGCTCTGGAGCTCACCCTCGCCGGTGGCTGACGTACTCCAAAGGGAAAAATACGGTGATGGAAATGTTAGAATATAATTATTATATTTATGGCTGCATGATTTTATGAAGAGTTCTGATGCGTAATGCGTCCGTAATGTATCCGCTTATGAATGACCCATTCTAGAAATGCATCTGCGCGGATATATTTGTGTGCCGTGATAATGTGGTGTGCAGGTTGTAGATGTATGCCTGATTGTGATTATATTTTGAAACATTAAGTTTTGTGTGAGTGTTCCGGTGCTGATATATTCGGTCGGCTCATGAATTTTCAGCCGTGAATATTCACTTGTTCAATTAGCCGCCGCCTAAGTCATTGCCAAATCGAATGGTACCCCCCCCCCCCCCCACCTCCCCCAGTGAGTGCGGGAGAAGTGGGCCGGCCTTTTCTGCATTTCTTTTCTGTTTGAAGGAGAAAAATGATTTGGTAATGATTAATGAACCTGCTCGTCGACGAACGGGCACAATGAAAGATACCGATAAATCGCATCGCAGAAATTAATGCATTTGAGTTGGGCCCTGGCCTGAAGCTCTGGATCTGTGACCCGGAGTCGGGTCACATTTGTGACCTCTGTTGTTGTTGAAGAGTTAGGATGTGACCTCGCCATTATAAGGCGATAGCGGCACATGGCAGTGGACGTCGCGAAGCGCCACGGCCGTGAGAAGAGTAGGCTGTAGTGTCGGTGACGTGAGATAGATGGCGGTGAGATCAGCTCAGTGTTCCCATTCTGACTCACCTGCGACAAATCCGGAGGTCGATGGTTAAAATTTCTGGGAACTCGGCGCGGCCGCGAGTGAGGGCGGAGGAGCGCGGCTCCCGGTCCGGCCGGGCCCGTTTAGTCATAGCATAGGGGCCTGGCGTGGTTAGTGCAGTGCAGGACATATCACATTTTGTCATATCATTTATGGAGGACTGCAAAGGCACCTGCGCTTATGAAGGGAAACAAATCAAGAGGCAGCTTCAGAGATGGGCTCGCACCTTCCCGGCTCAGCTGGGTAAGTGTTACGTCTTGTTTTGTTGTTTTATCATGCTAATTGCGATGCTTGGATCAAATTTGTTTCCATTCTACATTGTCTGTAATCTTGTGAAGCTGCACAACAGTACGTACATGCAATAATAGCTATGAGGAAGTGGAATGTTTTGATGCTGTTCTTACCTACCTGCCACATCGCCTGGTTTCTGCTGGAAGTCATGTATTTAGGGGGTAGAAACTCCCATTCCTTATCCTAGAAGCTGTAAGCTCAAGCTTTTGTCCATGAAGTTAAAATTATCTTTGAATTTGTCAGGATTGAGTAAATAAATGTCTTGCGGACAGGATGCTGAGATGGGATCTTGATCAGAGTGCAAGAGATAATCCCTTTGCTTACTGGCAAAATATAATTTGCCAATGATATCCCATGTAGCCCAAAGGTTATTTTTACTGCACTGCGTAGCCACAGCCTTTTCTGGAAGGATTTTTAGTGTTCAAGCTGGTACAAGACTAGGTACGAGTTGTATAAGAGCTAGGTACCTATTTGATAGATAAGGGTTTTATGAAATATGATTATCTATTTTCCATGCTAGTTTTTCTCATACCTCAAATTATGCAATAACTTGAGAAGTCATTTTAACATACATTTTTTTTTTTTGTGTCATGTTTCCATTCCTTGCATAGGTAGGCAGGTAGGTACCTACCCTCTGAATGACTTACCTATGCCTGCAAAGTGGTGCCACTTTGACATAACATAGCTGTAATCACAAAGAGATTGAGCAGACTACCTATGCTGCTGGAAATTGTCCAAGAAGACTTTTTAATGACTTTGTGACTGCACTGAATGCACATACACATTTCTGTTAATCGAGCATCACTTTGAACTCCACAGATCTTGTCACCCCGTATCCTTCCTTATCTACACCCCCTGGTCCCTGTCATTAACTGGCAGTTAATTTAATGGCCTGTGTGACACTAAGCATTTTTGGTTTTATCTTATGACCCATCAATGGTCAATTACAATGTCAGGCACTCCAGTAACTGACTTTTCACCTGTATGATATTGCAGTCCACATGACATCTCAACCAACATCACTCTTCTTTTAGGCATTTGCAAGGATGCATGGGCTATTGTCGCCATTTGGCAAGTTCCAAACTGAAGACACATCCTTTGGAAACATTTGGAAACAAAAAAGCTATTGCTGAAATATCTGCTAAACTAAGCATCCCAAAGCATTTCATTCACTAGTGAATGTTTGGGCAGTGCCAGTAATGCATCTGATTTGTGTGACCACTTACAAAATTTGAACTAGTGCACAGTGCAGGTAAAGTGATTGCTAATCTTTTATGCCACGTCAAACTCTCGGTTCTGGGGACTCCCGTGAAGGTGCATTGTCAAGTGACTTTTGGTATTTGAGAATGTATCACGCTCCTATCGGTCTGGTGCGGTGTGCTCTCCGTTGTGGGGCTGCCCGGCCCCGTCCGTCAGAGGCCCACTGATCAGGGGACATCTCCAGCCCGCAGCAGGGTCGCTGACGTGGCCCAGGCAGCAGTAGGTCATGGAGCCCCTTTGGTACGGTCCAGGGCACTCTCCGTCCCATGTTTGGACACTCTTCGGTCCGGAACGGGTCCTCCTCCGTCCCGTGTTGGGGCACTCTCCGGTCCGGATAGGGCGCTCCCCCGTCCGGAACTGCCGTGCCGTGCTGTCGGCTCGTTCGGGCCGGGTCGTGCCGCCAGACGGACGGCAGACCAGCAGACTGCCCACCGCCGCCCCCGACTGGCCCCTGTGTCCGCTGCTGTGACGGATGTGTCTCGGCGGCCTCCGGGCGGGTCAGTGGACATTGCGAATGTAGGGTGTCCTGTCCTGTCCTGTCCTGATACAGCAGTGGGACGATCGCCGCTCGCACAGCTCCATCACCTGCAAATGTGAACTGAGCAGGAGCAGGAGCCGGTCCGCTGGTACCATTCGATGCCAATCGTAGGCTCTGCATGGACGACTGTTGGGAGATGGGATGACGGTACGTGATTGTATGGTTGATTATAAAATCCGACGACCAACGTCCATAACTATCTGAATTCATGTCTCTTAGAAAATCGCTGGATGATTGTTATTAGTCATTCGTGTCGTCCCAGAAATCATATTAGGTACAGCGAGTGGACAGTTTCAAGAGCAGTAGCGGTCTCAGTTACGCAGATTTCTATCAACGTTCCTGATAATGTCATCGCTTATTGACGCAACAGGTAATACGGACTGTCGATTCGTTCACCGATAGCGCCCCTTGCTGCACATGAATCGCACACTCAAATGAGCTGTCGTGGATAGCCCAAGTGGGTTAATGTGCAGCCGATACAGGGGGCTTATTTCCTCTGAATCCGGCAAAAGTATGATGTGACGCGGTTTCCTTTCAGGTTTCCGTGTGGGGCATTCCTGGCTGGCTGCTCCCGGTGGTGGAGGGACCCTGGTTTCCGTACAGTGTATTCCTGATTCATGCCCGGCGTCCCCACATACACGGTCGGCGGGCGAGCAGGCTCCGTGCCACCGATCGGGCTATAGACACGGAAAATGTGGGATGGCTCACTGCCGCTAAAAGGGATGCCGTAGCTCAGTTGTTGTTGGAGTCAACTTTTACAACTGATTCGCTTGATTAACAATACATCCATTACGTACAAACATTTTTAGATTTATGCTAAGCTAAGGTATGATGTCATGGCATGAAACATTCGTCTCACAAGGAATGCATGCCTACAGTGTCATCTACGTATACCTCGGAGTGATAGCCAAGTAGGTAGTTGGCAATTAAAGCGAAGGAGTATATGTATAAATGGTTCTTCGAGATTGGTATCTAAAATTGTCGCTAACACGATTGTATTACGTGTATCAGTATGACTAAACACGTTTTGCGTGTTATATGAATGAGGGTGTACCTATTTGCATTTTATTCTAATCATGCGATTTTTGGAATGTCCTTTTATGCTGTTTATTTTCCATTGGGGTTCCGTTATAGATAATCTGGTTCAATCGTCTTGAATGAGTGCATTCCCGGGATCAAATCCACGCTGAGTGGGGCCTGTCGCACCCTGTAGGTGCAGGTCCTGGCTGCAACCGCCTGATCAAGATCTCAGTGCGTTAGCAGAGTTTGTCGAACGTTCAAGATGTCCACGTACATAATCTGCCAGTTTTCCTGCGCAAGGTCTAGCTCGTAACTGGTGTCACTCTGATGAATGTTAATTACTGCAGCCAGTCATCTTCGGGGGAAAATAGTGGGTAGGTACCGTAGTGACTCAAATCTGTCCTTCATACTACTAAACTAAGTCCATTGTTGTCCAGACCCTCTTATGCTCGATCCAGCCTTCGTCCAGCCTTCTCTCAGCTTAGCTTTTGAACGGGAGCCACTGATGAGTCGGCCATGCATTCGAACAACTCTGGTCTGGATGATGTCATCGATATTTTAAGCATATGGTTAAAGGGACTATCCCACCTTTAACATGGGGTTTGAGTTGAGAAAGCCAAGTTTGCGGCGAGGTTCAGAAACCACTATCTATCTAGGTTGCAACCCCCGCGGCCTCTTGGTGTTGAAGAAATTCGTTCCCTTCATTTGAAAATGGGCCTTGCGCAAGGCCCTATCTTCAACATGGAGCGACCGTGTGTGACGTCGCCTAGTTTAGTCATTCTGATTTAAATGGGTTTGTTCGTTGAAAAATCGCTTAAAATTTGGTCTGAACTTTGTTGTGGTGCCTACAGAGTAAAAAGAATCAGCTTTATGACAGTAATGTGGCCTGGGGAAGGAGGTAATTTTGGGCTGTGACGTCACATATTTGAAAGTTTGTGTTTGGAATATGGGAAGCCTAAGATGTTTAATGAAAAATAAATGCCAGAACCGTGTTCCTGGTCATCCAATCTATAAAGTCGGGCACAATTTAACTGGTTTTAACAACATTTTAGAAGGTAGGATAGTTCCTTTAATGGTTGTTTTCGCGTTCCAAATGTCCATTGTGTTACTGCACGTCAGAGCGTGTATGCATGATAATAGTTAACTTGACCCGCGCACCTCGTGACCGTTAGCGCCCTGCTGATAGGTATTGAATTTGCACAATGAACAGCGGGCGGCTAGTCTACCTGCTTCTATTTTAACCAATGTCTGTAACTCCTGACAGCCTGACAGGATCTGTCAGGCCCTGTCAGGACAGTATTTGTTTCTCATAATCTGAAAGATAAATCTGAGATCGTAGGACTTGACTTTTCAGATGTCGAACTAACTGCAGAAAACATCTATGAAAATCCGCTCTGGCATGCATTGCGCTGAGCGCAGATGAAATCCACTTTAGCGTTTTTAATGCTAATGCACGCTTAAATGTTCGGTGTTCACAATCGTTTAATTTTGTCGTCACATGATACATACCTAAAATGCGTTTTTTTTTTACGTTTTATTGACTTAGTTGCCAGCTTTGGTCCTAACCACATAACTGACAGAAAAATAATTTTATTTCGGAGCAATATTCTGAAAAGCTGTTCGTTCTTCTTTTATTTGATTTCACATTATGCCTCTATCATAGTCCATGTTAGCGTGATTGGTGAATGCCTGCAGTTGTGTTAACCCGCGCCCCGCTAGGCTATTCAGCCATACGCGCCCTGCTGGGGGGGTGGGGGGTGGTCGTAGAAAGACGGGGAAAACGGCAATCGAAAGCTCTCAACAAGGCGGATCTGAACAGCTGACTTTTTTTGCTTAATTAGGTCAGAGGTCAGGTCAAGGGTACAAAATGCAAGTTTCTACAGTATCGGCCTTGCACCGTAGTTGCCGAAGAATATACTGAGAATGATTGCCCAAAACGTGTTCTTAGGCTACCAAGACAAGATTCGTTGCATACAATGTCATGCAAAGGTCAAGGGCAAGGTCAGGTCAGGTCACCAAATGCGAAATATAGAAGAGGGCATGTGCGACACATGTTTTATGGGTTATTTTATTCATAGAATTCAATGGGCACACTCAATTAGTGATATGGACTACATCTGGATAAATTTCAGGT